AAACAGCAAAGCATACCCATTTTATTTATGGAAGTAAATGTTTTTAGCTTAAAGATTTCTTTATTTTCTAATAAAAAATACCCTTGTAATAGTGCAAAAGCACTTCAAGCTCTTCATTTAAAGCAGTAAACATTATTTTTAAAAAGCATGTGTTCATTATTTTTGTGTCAATTTTAAATGCAGGATTTGAAAAATACTTTCCGAAAGTCCATTCAAAGTCTTGTCTTAGCCTGTGATGATAGCCTTGTATTAATTCTGTCTCCACTTTTTCACAGATAAAAGGAAAGTAAACAGAGCAAGTCGGTAAAAGTGAACTAAAATGCAAAGCATGTCTGCATGGGCAGTGAGGTGAAATGGTTACTATGGAGCCAACAAACTCGGCTTCCAAATATCAGACTTGGCTTCCCCAAGTCATGTATCCCTCACCCAGGGCTGGATTCTTATTTTCTTCACAAAGTTTAACATCATTTCAGTATAACTGTGCAGCACCCAGGATGGTTTTCAGAAAATGCCAATGAAATCGTTCTGGTGCCTCAGAACCATTATGAGGCACAACTTGAAGCTGACAAAATTAGGAAATGTAATGACAGGCTGTGAATGTGCAGTGTGTTCTGAATTTTTTAAGAAAAAAACAGGCCATAGTAAAGTATGATTTTTTTAAAAAAACCATCTTAAGTTTAATAACTGTTTTTATGGACTTTAATGTTAGAATCACGTTCTTATGTATATTCACAATTCTTACCATCTTTGAGACTTTCAATGGTATTTTTCTTCTGGTTGTAGAATTTGTTTCTGTTTGACTCTTAATGTTTAAACAGGCCTTTCTTTATCCATTGAATTGGGAAAGAGGGTTGTCTTCAAAGACTTTTAATTGAGGCATGTACCTATACAAGGTGCTTCCCCCCCACCCCATTTTAAGTAATTTATGATCTAGCAGTCAAATGATGAAGGAGCCTGTCCTGATTATGTTGCAACTATCAGAATATTTATAGAAAATATTAGCTAAAGCTTTAGACTTCCAGCTAATCATCACTAGACCCTAAAAATATGGTTGTAGTTGCAAAATGAATGGTTTTTGGAAAAAAAGTTGTGTAGAAAAATATTTCCTAAAGTTCATTTAGGAATTAGTTCATACATTCTAAGTGAGACATAGCGATTGAACATTTGCTGCTGGGAAAGCTGTGGCACAAGACTGAGAGTAATCTCTCATTGCCAAGTTCACTGCTTCACTGTCGCAGGTAAGCCCGTTTATAGACGTATTAAGCAGCCTTTTAAAATGCACTCATTACTTCCTTTGTTTCTAATGGAAATACATTTTTTAAAAAGCAGCAGTCGATCACATTTACATCCCTGATGCCACTGGGGTAGCTGCTCGCCCTTTTCAGCAGCCGCTTGCGCTACCCCTCCGCTGTGGCGCTTTCCCCAGGGCCCGGCCCGCAAGCCGGGCTGGCTGGCGCGGGGCCCTCCTGCCCAGCCCGGGACGGTGGGACGCTGCGGGAGGTGCCAGCGCGCTGGCCGTGCCACCCGACCAGCACGAGCGCGGAGGGTTTTCCTGGCGAGAGCCGTGTGTGCTGGAGAAGGGAGGAAGGTGCCTCACGCACACAGCCTGGCTGTGTGGGAGCAGAGGGGAGGGCGGCGCGGCGTGGCGCGCGGCGAGGACGGCCGCAGGGACGGAGAAGGGGCGCGGGCAGAAGCCTGAGGGGAGATTCAGCTGCAGCCCCCTCTGCCCCCGGACTGAACAAATGAGGTTTCTCAGGTCTCCCTTCACGTGTGACGGGACCAGGGGTAATGGGTACAAGTTGAAACACAGGAAGTTCCACCTCCATGTGAGGAAGAACTTATGTACTGTGAGAGTGACAGAGCCCTGGAACAGGCTGCCCAGAGAGGTTGTGGAGTCTCCTTCTCTGGAGATCTTCCAAACCTACCTGGATGCCACCCTGTGCCACGTGCTCTAGGTGTCCCTGCTGGAGCAGGGGGGTTGGACTAGATGATCTCTAGAGGTCCCTGCCAACCTCTGTGATTCTGTGACGGCCTTCAGCCCCCAAGCCACCTCTGTGCTCTGGCGCTGCCCTCATTCATGTTTCTCAGGGCCTTGGAATGGGGCATCCAAACCCGGACACAGATGTCCTGTGCAGCCTCGCGCACACAAAGTGGAGGGCAATAACCCCTTCCCCGGACCTCCTGGCTATGTCCTCCAGCCCAGTGTAATGTTAGTGTTTATGGCTGCGCGCGTGCGCTGATAATGCAGCCGCTCTGCTGTGCTGCTCGGGCTGTCTCTCTCCCTCTGTGTGCGCGTGGGTGCTGCACCGTGGCTTTGTATCTAATAATACCCCCAAAATGGGAAACTAACTGTGTTAAGGTACCTCAGTCTGTCAGAAAGGAAATGATAAATTTATTAGGAATAGAAAAGATTTGAGGTTGTACATAGTATTCATTGCCTTATGGAAATGGAATCATGTATGAAAATTATAGTAACATTTAAAATGTAAGCTTATATCGACAAATAATTTTTATACCCTTGTATGTGACATAAAGCAAAGACACTTTCTCCTTTGTAGTATTTTTTTATTTGAAGGCTTGAGGGAATGGATATGCTATGCTAGTATGGGTCTGTGACATTTAAATTGCATTCTGAAAATATATTGAATCAAACGGATATTGGGCAGAGGGATGTAGCAATACACTTACCTTGAAGGCTGCATTATGTAGATGCATTTTGCACGTCTCACTGATGTTTATAGTTGTTAATCACTATGTGTGTATGTATATATTTATATATACACATAAATGTTCTGAAATGCATTACTGTGCAAATGCAGTTTTATTCATGGAAAGCCCCCATGATCAGTTCACAGACTGTTCAGTGCAGTTTGTCACTTGTTTCCCTACTCTGTCAGTGATTGACACACAGCTGTTGCAAAATATGGGTTAGATGAATTATTCTAGTATTTTCTTCATAGAATCTTTAAAAGCCTTCGAACAGCATTTCTGGAAGATGTTCTGGTTTCAGTGTAACTGGAACAGCATTTACTCCTCCTCAAGTGACCATTGTAAGAAAAAGCAGTATGGTAAGGATCAGCGTGTGACACAGGGAGCTGACTGGAAGCACAATGTTTGTAGGAACGTCATCAGTAGCAGCTGTGATCTGCTTGCAGGGACAGAAAAAAATCCGTTCCTTTACTCGTTGGATCTTTCTTCTGACTTTCCAAGAAAGAGGTGTACCTGTATAAATGCTGGAAATTATATTAAATGTGTTTGATTTAAAAATCAGTAGGAATGGATATTCAATTTAGTTTCAATAAACCTGAATTGGAGTATATTTATATATATTCCACCAGGTTGTTATCATTCTGATAGACATTTGGTGTGTGTGGGCACATGTGGTTTATCTTCTTTTGGTCTTTTTACTTGTCAATATGACAAAAATGCCGCATATTCCAGTATGAAATACATCCTATCTTCTGATAGCACCAATCTTTCCCATGGTGAAGAAATCATGCTTAATTAAATTATATTGACAAGATCAGTGGAAATTTATTTGGTAAGCATTATTTTACTTTAGAGTTTTTTTAAAAAAAAGTAAGCACCACAAAGATAAGTATTAGGATTTTAGATTATGCTCCTTGGAGACTTATATGAAGGACAAAAGCATCCTTGTATTTAGTTTTTTGCGCAGAATCTAATTTAAACACAGGCAAGGTCAGTAGGCACTGAAGAGGCCATTCATTTTAGCAGTGTCTTGAGCAAATTGGACAGTAGTCCAGAATGAGTTCAAAGAGCTTTTGTAGATTGAAATGAAAGCTTAATAATATATTAAAAAAGACCTCAGTAATCCTGTTTTTACTTATTTATCACAGCTGTAGTTAAAAGGGGGTTCTGCTAAATGTGCGTCAATGCCTAAAGACTAATTCCAAGCTATTCCTGAGGAGCTTGACTTTTTTATTATTCTTGTAGCATGATGGTCAGGTTTTAGGATAGCGAGCTTTCGCAGATTGTTTATTATAGTCCATATTCTTCTTCTTTCCTATTTCTAGCATTTTCTTTACAGAGATTTTGCATAGATGCAAAATCTTTATTCTCTGCTGTGATTACTTACTCTTCCTAACTTCAGAAGCCCTAGAAACCCGTGTGTTTGGCCCCCCTCCCGCTCGCGCGCACAGCAGCCCCGCAGGCGCCAAGCAGCCACTTCGGCTGCTTTGGAGCTGAGATGGTGCTGGGCAGCGGCGGGCAGCCCTCATCTTCTTGGATATGCCCAGGCGGCAGAGATGCCCTGATTAAGTGTTCCCTTCTGCAGTGGGAACTGCCTGTGCCAGGAGAGCCTGTGAGCTCGTTGTCAAACTAAGGGGAAAGTTTCATAGCTTAGCACATGAAAAAGCAAAGAGACGTGGTGGTGGGGGTTTGGTCTGGTTTGGTTTGCTTGCTTTGAGGAATACTGCAGTCCCTAGGAGTAGCAGCCTCCTCGTGCCTGTGCTGCTCCCAGCTTTTGCAAGGGGCAGGGGGGCTGCAGTGGGGCTGGCCCCCTTACAGCCATATTACCCAGCTCTGTACCCCGAAGCAGCCCATCATGTCTACACGGTCACTGGTAAGTGCAGAACGGGCCCAAACAGGAAAACGGGACCCTTTAAGTAGCCCTGCAAATCGGTTTTCAGCCTACTTCAGTTCAGCAGCCTGCCTTGGCACCAGGATAAGCTCCTGAAGTGGTCTCAGAAATTCACTTCTTACGGTCACTGGTAAGTGCAGAACGGGCCCAAACAGGAAAACGGGACCCTTTAAGTACACTCGGCCCACGTCTCCTGTGCACTGCTGCACGGGAGCCTGGGGAGCCCAGCTGCTGCGCAGCCCAAACCAAACAGCAGCACGAAAACACACTTATCACCTGCTGCATCTGAATGTTCACCAGTATTAGTGCTATGGGTACTGTGTACTGTACATTATAGTTGCAATTTCTTTTAGGACCATATATTATGGATAATAGCAATATATATGTTTTTATTTCGCAGGATGGAGGTCTGCTGCTCAATAATCCCTCCGCATTGGCAGTTCACGAATGCAAGTGTCTGTGGCCAAACGTCCCGCTGCAGTGTCTGGTGTCACTGGGCACTGGCCGATACGAGAGTGAAGGGAAGACGCATGTCACATACACCAGTTTGAAAGCCAAACTCACAAATGTTATCAACAGTGCAACTGATACAGAAGGTTAGTGTTTCAAGATATGTTTTTATTGTGTTTTTAATTGCTTGTGATTCTTCATTTTCAGTTCAGAGAGCAATCCTACCCATAGAAAGATCTCAGACTTCATTTAGATGAAAATTAAGTGTAGACAGAAGTAGAATTTAAATAGCTGTTCTCAGTGAGCTATTTTCATCAAACTATTAGTTTGTGCATGTCTGCTATATTTCATGCACGTTTCTTTTTGCCAGTTTATGTAAAGGTGGTGTTTCCTATTAGTATCTGCAAGGGCGTATGGTTTCCACTGATGTCAGGAGGAGCAAAGCATGTGATTTCAAAAACAAACTCTGATCTTAGATTGGGAATATCTTGTAACTTTATTATTAGCTGTTTCTTTTCTATAAACTGAGGAGATACCGATATACGAAAAAAAAAAAAAAGCTGAGGTTCATAGTGAATTGATTAATGTTGATCAACAAATATCAAGGAGAAACTCGAGAGAAAGTCATTGTAGAGACCAAAGGAGAGAAAATGGAAAAAGGGACTTTACACAGTAGACTTGAGGAAATGGGATTTTGTATTATGAAGGAGAAAGGGAGATGTATTAAATAGAACAAGTGATTTGAGAGTCCTGGTTGACAACAGGTTAACCATGAGTCAGCAATGTTCCTTCGTGGCCAAGAAGGCTGATGGGATCCTGGTCTGCACCAGGAGGAGCGTTGCCAGCAGGTCGAGGGAGGTGATCCTGCCCCTCTGCTTAGCTCTGGTGAGGCCGCACCTGGAGTATTGGGGACAGTTCTGGGCTCCCCAGTACAAAAGGGATGTGGAGCTTCTAGAGAGGGTCCAGTGCAGAGCCACAAAGATGATTAAGGGACTGGAGTATCTATCATATGAAGAAAGACTGAGTGAGCGAGCTGGGCCTGTTTAGCCAGGAGAAGAGAAGGCTGAGAGGAGATTTGATCAACATGTTCACCCGTGGGGGGATTGTAGGGAGGATGGGGCCGGGCTCTTCTCCGTGGTGGCTGGTGACAGGACTAGGGGTAACGGGTGTAAGTTGAAACACAGGAAGTTCTACCTCCATAAGAGGAAGAACTTCTTTCCTGTGAGGGTGACAGAGCCCTGGAACAGGCTGCCCAGAGAGGTTGTGGAGTCTCCTTCTCTGGAGATCTTCCAAACCTGCCTGGACGCCACCCTGTGCCACGTGTGTCCCTGCTGGAGCAGGGGGGTTGGACTAGATGATCTTCAGAGGCCCCTTCCAACCTCAACCACTCTGTGATTCTGTGATAAGGGAGATGGTGAGACAAGAACACAGCTGAATAATTTACAGGAGGAAGGAACAGAGAGAATATTTCAGGAGAAAACTATGGTCCTTACCATCTCTTTCATGATATTTTTCACTTTAGAACTCTTATATTAATATAGATGTTTGAAGGGATGAAAGAATGCAAAAAAGAAGGAAATAGTAGAGAGCAGAAATGTGAAAAGTTGTGGTCATGGAAGATAAGTGAAGAGCCAACAAAGAGAAAATGAGAGAGAAAATATTGTAGAAAAGAAGGTATAGGAGCTGAAAGAAAGTATAAATAAATAGATTACATAACCAGTTTCTTACCATACTTGTTTTGTGAACTTATAGAACATACCATGAAAATTTAACTTAAATATTAAATCCAAAACAAAAATCTGTAGTAAAAAAAAGAATTAGTGACAAATAAACGGAACTGTAAAAACTGTATCTTCCTCAGCGCAGGCTTTGCTGTTAGAGAAGAGCCCGCTGCCGGCGGTTCCGTACCGCCTGCTCCTGCTGGTCCTGAGCGTGAGCAGCCCTGGGCGGCGGCAGTGCGAGGTGTCCTCTGCTGCTGCGCGCAGAACGCGCTCTGCGTCCGGGGAGCTGGAACGGACGCTTACAATGGGCTTGTGGCCAGCTGCAAAGCCGCCTTCTTTGGCACAGCAGTGGAGTTGTTTTGGAATAAAAGGTGAAGCCTTTCCAGGGATCGTCTGTAAACCTGCTCTCATCAGGGTTTTTTCCTAAGATGTTGGCATGGAAAAACATTTACTCAGCAAAGCAGCACATATTTACACTTCAGGTGTCACTTCAGGTCACTTATTGTTTGGAGAGCCTCAGAGTATTTGTGTGTCTCATTTAAATATAACCATTTCCTGTGTTTGTTTTAAATGCAGAAGTTCACACCATGTTGGATGCACTGTTACCTCCGGATACCTATTTCAGATTTAACCCTCTTATGAATGAAGACATAGCTCTGGATGAAAATCGAAAAGAGAAGCTGAATCAGTTGCAGACAGATGGAATTCGTTACTTAGAACGAAATGAAGAAAAACTGAGAAAAGCTGCGAAAATTTTAACACAAGAAAAAACAACGTTGCAGAAATTTAGTGACTGGTTAAGATTAAAGGCTGACATGTATGAAGGCCTTCCCTTTCTTTCCAAATTGTGAATATGTAATGCATGAAGTAATACCGTAAGTGTAAATTTTGTTCCAGAAAAGTACTGTAAAGAAAAATGTTTATTATGGTGAATATATGGCGAACCTTTTTTGGAGAGCTAAAGAATTCTGGAGAAAGCAGTTCAGGGCAGGGACTTTATGCACATTCACTTGATACGAGGTTTTATGGTGTTAATTATTTTTTGAACCTTTGGGATCTTCTTGTTGTACTACTTAAGTTTGTTAAAATCACTAAAACTAAAAACTATGGCAGCAATTGTGCTAGGCAATTTTGGATGTATGTACCATAATCATGTTGACAGTAAAACTTTATTTATCGACTACCAAGTTTATTCAAAATGAGCAGAAAATAAAATGTGCATTAACTTTATAGTAGGCAGCGTATCTGTTATGCTCTTGTATTGCTCGTCAATTTAAAAACTTTTACAAAAGTTTTTCCTGTGTTAATTGCACTTTTACAGTGGAAAGAAAGTTTACATTTTTATTTTCATCTCTTTTGTACATAACAGTATTCCAGATATTAGGCTATAAGTGACATTAAATAATCACAATTAACTGATCTTTTGGGAATTTCCTGCTCCTTGTTTTTATAGGAATAACTTCAGGTAGGTTCATTCATTATTTGAAAATAATTGTAACCCCCTAAACTTTTTCCAAGCAGCTATTCCAGTCACAGGTAAAAGGAAATAAAATCTCGAACCTGTTGTAATCTCACCACACTCTTAAGCACTCCTTGCTTTGCAGCTTGCTTCTGGCTCCCATCGGGAAAGGTGCCGTGAGAGATGCAGCCGTGTTAGTGCCGCGGTGGGAACGCTCCCGGGACCGGGGAAGCCCCTGGAAGCAGCAGGGCCGCAAGGAAGCGCCTGTGCCCGTGTGCCCAGCGCTGACGAGGGTGTTTCAGCAAACACCAGGGCATCCAGAAACAAAGGCCGCTTTTGGCACTTGGCTTTTCAGGAGTAATCACCTGCCATTGCATTTTCTACTAACAAAATGATACTTCTTTTGAGAGCCGCCCACCGTACCTGTCATCTTAACTCACTGAAAATGCTACTAGGCTGACTTTAAGGGCACGACTTGGCAGAAGACAACTGAGATCAGCATTAGAACAACATTATTTCAGGAGCTGCTACATAATATTCTGTGTCCATGGAAGAAAACACTTGTTTTGAATTGTTCTTTTTTTTTTTAACCTGAGAAGTAATTTGCACCTTTGTCCTTTTACTCAGAGTACAAACGTTACTGAATACAAATTCCTCTGCATGCTCCCTCGATTCTCTTATTTTTCTCGCTGAAGCTACTAAGGTAAATATGCTGTAGCCTTTGATCACTTTTATTGGCCCCAATGCAAGCAACTTATGGATGCATAAGGGCTAAAAAAGCCTTTGTCATTCACTAGTGAAGAGGAAAAAGAGGAAAATCAGCACAGAGAGGCAGTGATTTAAAGATGAGAAGTGTAAGAGTGTGAATGGGCTCTGTTCCTTTTGCACTTCAAACACCAAAAGCTGTCCCCCCACGCTGGGCAATGAAAATATTCCAAAGGAGAGTCCCGTGTTCTTGGTGCAACTCTACTTCGTGCAACTCCCCTTTTAGATCTTCAATCTCAATTACTCAAAAAAAAAAAAGGACAAGATAAGAAATCCAGCTTTTCCCCTTGGTTTGGGCTAGTTTAGGTATGTAGAAAGGAAACGTCAGTATTATTGTGATGAAGGAGGTAGAACAGGCACCGTGCCTGAGCTCGGCTGTGCTGCAGTGCGACGGGCAGTGCAGGGTCCCTTCCTGTGGCACCAACATAGAAGGGAAAAAGTCATGGCACCATCCCTAAGGATATCGAGACAATATTATGAATTCATAACTTTCCAGTCATAGTTGATAGAGATAGTTATTTAAGAAAACACTTGTCTGGAATAAACAGATTGGCAAGATTTCAATTTAATAATATTTTACTCATGTTTGAACACTGATGTAACTGATGTACTGAACTAGTTCCTTCAGTAGGAAATATCTTTGCAGATGAAATATTATTTCTGTTTAACCTAATGCAAGGATGCTTATTCATTTTGAAGTTCTCTGAGTTGTCTTCTCATAAGTAAATTCAACATTATACTAGGAGCAAACTAAAGGAAGTAAACTGGGAAAACGACGAGTGTTCCAAATGAGGCTGCAATATCTCGAATTAGCTTTAGTTAAATACCAGGTTACACGGAGTTCTTTGCTAGCTGCCTACAAAGCTTCAATTGCAGCTCTGTTAAAAATACCATGCAATTTCATAGAGCGCTTGGCTTATCTAAGCAACCTTTCAGAAGACTTCATTAAGTGAATTCTAGACTGACGGGGGGAGCTATTGGACTTTGGCGATTCCGTATTTAGAAAAATTGCAATATACTTGTCACTGGAGGAGGCCTTTCTGAGTGAATTTACATGGATGTGTTTAATCAGCGCGCAGGAGGGAAGGCGGGACGGAGCTGGGCCCTCTCTGCCGAGCGCCCCTGCGCTGCAGCCCACGGCGCAGGACGTGGGGAGCGCGTGGGCTTCCCGGCACCCCTCGGAGCCGCCGGCCTGACAGCTTCCCTGCGGAGAATGGGAAGCCGCGTCAGGAATTAGGGAAGTATTAATGTTTGAGATGGAACGAATGCATGTAAAGATATATATCTCTCATGAATATATGTAAAGATATATAAATCTCTCATGAAATACGGTTCACTCGTGACTAGAGAGGGCAAAAAAAATCAAAGCTCTTACATCCGTGAACATATATATTTATATATATAAGTGTGTGTATAAAGAAGAACAGGCTGTATTTTAGTACAGGTTCCTTCTACAAAAAAGTTCTGGTTCAATTTAAATATATTGCTGGTTTTTTGCCTGTTGATGTCCTGGAAAGGGAAAGGGAGATGAGGAATTTATTTCAGTTGGGCCGAGAGCTGGATTAAGCTCTTGTGCTGCAGGTCGTCTTCACTAGCATTTCGCTATTACTGTAACAATATTGTTTCTTCCTAGCGTTTTTTGGAAGTGCACATACAGTTGAGTTGTGCTATACAGTAATTAATTCAGACTGTTTTGGGCCACGGTGTTTACGTTCCCAGGATGCAGGTACTGAAGCCTTTCAAACTAAACTCTTTGATCCTCAATATTGCGAGTGCTGCACTGTCTGTCAGGCACTAATTAGGAGTTTGCTCTCCCCTCTAAACCACTTCAAAAATGTGCAGGTGCGATAGATTTATCACTCTAGCTGTAATTAGTTTTTTAGTTACTTCAAGGAGAACTTAGCAGTTTGCAGGGACTCTGACCTACAACACTATTGATGAAGGAGAGCTCTTCATAGGAAGGTTACGGAGGTATTTGCTGCAGCATCACACATTATATTCTCGTGTGGACATGAGGAGAAGATGGAATAGGGAGAGCTGCAGAGGACTCTGAATTTGCTAAATAAGGGACAAGAAGTTTAGATTAAGGGGGTTTATGAACAGAGAGCAGATGGACTAGTTCTGGGTCAAACGCTATCATATTTTAACTAATGACTTTGGGGGAACGGAAGGACTCACGTTGCACGTCCATAAATCTAGGAGGGATCATGAATATTCTGAGCAAAAGGCTTTCGGTGCAGTGCGAATTTGAGAAAAAATAGGCTAGAATGAAAAAAACCTCAAGTATAAAAATACAAAACTGTCAATGGAAAAAGGAATAGCCTAATGCAGAAGCTCTAGTTAAAGGATTCCTGCTTTGAAGAAGCTCCCCTGGGAATGATGCGTAGTTAGTTACCAGTCAACAGACTGCAACTCAGAGCCTGCAAATTAACAGCTACAAAAATAAGTAGGTTTCTCAATACGCCGCAGAGAATTCCATGGGTAGGGTAGCGTGGATGAATCTGAAAAATGAGACATCAATGAGAAATTAGAAGAAAAAGATATAACAGATAACCCTTCCAGATTACTCATTAAATCAGAGAACCAGGCGAAAGATTTTAATTTTTTTGCCGGGATGAGCAGTCCCGTTTGGATGTGCCGGGTTTCTGTAACTGCTGCAGTACTGGAACAGCTGTGGCCTTTGCGGCCAGCACGGTCACTTTTTAAGCTTTGTGGCAGGTTAAAGCCCTGCAGAAGCCTTAGGCTGACAGAGCTGTGCAGGGGCAGAAGAGCACGAGGCTCCTTAGCACGAAGGCCCCGAGGCTCCCGCGCGGCCTCGGGAAGGGAAGGCGGCACCGCCTCGTCCCGCTCCTCTCCGCGCCGCCCTGGCTCCTTTGGGATGCTCAGGGCACAGCGAGGGCGCTGGGGGCGGCCGTGCTGCCTGGCCCCGTCCCACAGCCGTCCTGCTCTGTGTCCACCTGTGCCACAGCAGAAAAGGCAGCTGGTTCTGCGGGAAGCAACATGGCCACACAGGGAGGAGGGCAGCTGGAGGCTCTGCATGAAACGTGCCTCAAGACCGCAAGGCTGTCTTAGCAAAGCTCTTTGCACTGCTCCTCTTGGATGAGGACCTAAGGGATGAGGATCGTGCCCTTCCTTCACTCACGCAGCACGTTCTGCTTTGCTTGCCTTGCTGAGAAAGGGAGCGGACGGAGGCTGCAGTGAGACAAGTCACGCGATGGGAGAAGGAAAAAACCCGGCTCCTGCTTCCTACTGCTGGGTGCCATTGATTTTTCACCAAAGATTAAAACGCTTGTATGCTGCTGGACCAACAAATCCTCCTGATTTTTTTTTTTTTTTGTGTGTGTGTGTGTTAAAAGACTGTTTTCAAGATGACAGATATTAAACACAAGTGTGCTTAATTTGTGTTTAGCATTTGTGTTCCTGCGCGCTCCCTCGCAGCCTCCTCGCCCACAGGTACCCACCTGAGTAAACACGGCTCAGTTCCAACGTGCCACCTGCTCCGACGCCTTCCCCGTGGCCTTCATCGCTCACAGCTAATTCTAGCAAAACAGAAGTTGGATCCCTCCTTTTTCAAGATTTAATGACAATTCTATCATTCATTTTAATAAAGTTTGCAAACTTCACTAAGGGGAAACCATTAGTGAGATTTACAGCAAAAACAGTGTATAAGTGGAACAAGCAC